AAGCTACAACGAGAATTATAAATAAATATTTTTTTGCTCCAAAAATCAAGCAACAAGTTTCTTACAACAACCACACTTTAGCATATCAGGTTAAAAAAAATAATTTCTTATCACATAAATTTCTAAACAAAAGAAAACAAGAAAATAGTTTCCTCCAAAAATCAAGCAACAAGTTTCTTACAACAGCCACACTTTAACATATCAGGTTAAAAAAAATAATTTCTCATCACAAAAATTTCTAAACAAAAGAAAACAAGAAAATAGTTTCCATAATGAACTTGTGGTGGCAGTTTAAAATGCAAAGGAGCCAGAAAGTTGTCCAAATTAACCCAAATTATTACTCTTTTGTGATTTATTACTACTATAATTAACCAAAATTATTACTCTTTTGTGATTTATTACTACTATAATAAAAACACATGTTTATCTCACTAGGTAAGGTCGACTACATGAATCCCTTTCATCATTAGTTCCTATTGAGTGTCATATTTTTATTTAATTCTAAGAAACTAAGAACACTTGTTTATACAGTATGCCCAAGTCTAACAGAAGTCAAATCTAAAACTTCTACTCTCTTAATCAGATCATCAGATGACAACTATTTACTATGACCAAACCATCTAAAATGACTCTCTCTAATCTTGTCTGTCACTGAGTTACACCAATCATTTCATGGATACATTCGCTTCACATTTTGTCTCTAAGATTCAAGCCACTCATCCACCCAAGCATTCTCATCTCTATAACATTTAGCTTGGTTTTATGCTTCTCTTTTATAGACCAGCATTCTGCGCCATAAGGCATTGTAGGTCTCACCCTCATCTTATAAAATTTTTTTTTAAGTCTAATATGTAATTTCTCAGTACAAAATAGGCTCGATGCATTCCTCCGCTTCAACCATCCTACTTGAATTCTACTTACTTGAATTCTACTAATAACATTACTAATAACATCCCTATCTATATCACCATCACTTTGAATAATAGACCCGAGATATCTAAAATATTTACTCCTTTTAATGATGTGATCACCCATTATTACAACTCTGCACTATATCTACTACTACTAAAATTATATTCTATGTATTCAATTTTAGATCTAGTCAAATGAAAGCCTTTAGACTCTAATGTTGACACTAATAATTCAAGTTTTTCCTAAACTCTTTCTCTAGTTTTATCTATGAGAAGGATATCATCAATGAAAAGCATATACCAGGGTTTATCTTTCTGTAAATGTCCAATAAGTGCATGCAAAACTAAAACAAAAAGATATGCAGTTTAAGTCAATCCTTGATGTAATCTAACTCAATAGGAAAATACTTGCTCAATCCTCTTTCTATTCGAACACAAACAACTTAGTATGCATTTACTTAATGACTTGAATATAAGTCATCAATAACTTTATTTTCTAGAACTCTTCAAAGAACTTACATCAGAACCTTATCATAAGCTTTTTCTAAATCAATAACAATCATATATTGATCCTCCTTACTCTATATGTGCTTTTCCATCAAACCTCTCAATAAATGTATAGCTTCAATGGTAAACTTGTGTGGCATGAATCCAAACTGATTATGAGAAAACTTTGTATCACATCTTAACCTATGTTAAATTACTTTCTCACATAATTTTATTGTATGACACATTAACTTAACTCCTCCATAATTTGCACACTCTTGTTAAATTACTTTCTCACATAATTTTATTGTATGACACATTAACTTAACTCCTCCATAATTTGCACACTCTTATGCACCCCCTTTATTATTAAAAAAAGGATGCCAAATTGTTTTTCCTCCACTCATCATGTATATTTTTAGGGTATGTTTGGGACAGCTTTCTTCCTGCTTTGAGTTTTAAATTACCACCAAAACTCTGTTTGGGAAAGTGCTTTCTTGTTGCTTTCTAGACATTTTTGTGATGATAATTCTGTTTTTTCAATCTGACCTGCTAAAGTGCGGCAGATATAAGTAAAAATGTTGTATGAATTTTTTTGGAAGAAAAATATATAAGAATTCACATCTCAACTTTCAAAGAAAGTGCTTTCTCAATCACAATTTTATAATCATCTTTTAAAAAAAAATGTATCCATCCAAACATACCTTTAGTTTTTAAAATAATATTAAAAAGTTTTGTAAACAAAAAAAAATCCCAAATCTTCTAAACATTTCCACACTTTTATTGTGATATCACAGATCCTATTGATTTTCAACCATTAATTTTCTTTAAAGCCTTCCTAACTTTTTTTTTTACTATTTTGGTGGTAAAATATACTTTTTATTATTATTAATGATGTTAACGTTATTAAGGTTGATCGTATTTTCAAAAACTTTATTGAAAAGTTCGACAAAATATCTTATCTACTTGTGATAAATTTCTTCTTTTAAGAAAAATATTTTTTTTGATTTTCATATTTAATACAGATTTTCATATTTAATACACTTTGCTTGAATTAAATATTAACTTTTCTCTCTTTATTTGGCTATTTTATATATATTTCACATTCTTTAGTTTCTAATTTATGATAAAGATTACTATAATCGGAATATTTAGCATTATAAATTGTTTTTTTTAGAATCCATACGAGTCACCTTATATTTTATTTAATTTTCCAAGCTTTTACGTATAAACTAATTTTTACAATAAAATTTATATTTTATCTTTTCTTGCATATTATTATTCTACTATCAACTATTTTTTATTTTTTAAAAAAATTCTTTATGATTATCCAAGTACATCTTTTGTCACTTGTTTAATAGTGCTTGTTACTCTTTTGATTTATTATTTTAAAAATATCTTTTATCTAAAATGAAAGTCCGAAGGGGAGTTTGGTAGTACATTTTAATGGAATTATCATCAAAAGCTAAAATATAGGTTACATAGATTTATGAATTTTCCAAATTTAAGAGCCTTAATTTTAGCTTCGATTCAACTTAAATTCAAATTTATTAAATCCCAAAACATAGCACTTGAGACATTGCTATTTATAAGTCTAGCACCCTCTTTCGTCAATTTTCCAAATTCTCACTCAAATATCAAACTTCAAGATAAAATTACAACCCGTATTTTCTTTTTTTATCAAATGCTCAATCATATGTTGGTGGCACGCGTAAATCTATAGTTCAATAGTTTAAATTTATGTTATGATTTTAAATTTTATAAATAGCAATATTTCATATAATCGATTGCTTTGTATGTAATATCCCAAGATAAAAATGAATTTATGGAATCTTTGATCTTCGGATCTACACATAAATCTCACTAATGCTAAATCTTAGTTGAAGCCAAACACCCCCTAAATTTAGGAAATTTTTTTTGTCTGGACTCCTGACGTAGCTCTACGTGCGGACTCCAATAATATCCCACATGTGTGCTACATTGAGGAGGTTACTTCAGGGTTATTGAAGTAGAGTCACGTATGTTATTTCGGGATTATTAAAGAAAAACCTATATATTTCACTTCAATAACTCAGAAATAACCTAGAAATAACTCTGGAATAATCTTTGCGGTTCCAATTTAATAATCGAAAATAACTTCCATGTTGTTATTTCGGGGTTAATAAATTAGAACTGCGGAGGTTATTTCGTGTTTATTTCAAGGTTATTTTGAGGTTATTGTGAAATTCGCTGTTCTACTTTAATATTTTTTAGGTGGGCCAATATTGCACACATGGAAGCATATTAGTGAGGGTGAGGGTCCACATTCCGGGTCCAATAGAATTTTTCCCTAAATTTAAGTTCTAGGCCTGGTTAACGAACCCATACACTCAAAACCTCCATCAAATTATCCTTCCCGCCCAAGAAAACCCAGCGAGAGGCTCCAGCCGGGACATGGAGGGGTGGGAGGAACAAATCGACGTCGACGATTCTGATCTTCACTCCGTCCTCGTTCCTCAACTGCTTCCTTCATCTTCGCGCCAAGCCCTCTCCCACCGTCTCCACCCGTGCTCTCAAATCTCCTCCTCTTTTCAAACTCTCGACCCTATTCCCTCTATCCCTTCCTTTCAATCCCAAATTCTCACCCATACTTCCCGGAGAAATCAAAACGAAGAACAAGAGCATCTCCCGAAGTTAAACACTTCCCGTCCCCTCATTCCCGGTCCTGCTGGGGCCATTCAGATAGCCATGCGCCGGCAATCCGCCACAGCTGCTTCAAAAAGGTCTATCTTCGAAGGGAAAGGAAGCGATGATCTCGATCTCTGTTTAGAAGAAGAAGATGGAGATTTTAAGCTTAACCCTTGGCTCTGTTCCCTTAGCTTTCTTGGTGAGTGCGGAGGCAAATTGTTACAGATTTTGTTTTTTATGTTAGGCTAGTTTAGTTAGTTTTCCCATCTATCAGGCATAGGTAAGGACTCAATTTTGCCCTACCCAATCAGTTTGATCAATGCCCAGCGGTGCAGTACCAACAGAATACCTCAGGTTTAGCTACTAATACATCCATTGGTTGTTAAGTTCCAGTTATGTTTTATGTGCTTCAACTGGCTCAGAGAATTGATGGTTAGGTGGTAGGCATTGTCAAATCCTGCACGCCAAATGGGCTTGGTGATTTGTTCATAACACTGAAGGTAAAAAGATTATGCACTCTATGAAATTTGACTTGCTGTGGCATGCGCTAAATATGCAACTTTCCTCTAGGATCCAACAGGCACAATTGGTGCAGCTATCCACCGCAAGGTCCTTTCTGAAGGACAAAATTGTGGGGAGATTTCAGTTGGATGTGTTTTAATTCTGAAACAGGTGTCAAATGTTTCTATTAATTATGATAAGATTTTTTTTCGTGTTTTTGGGCTGTTGATGTGAGTATCATCAGAAGATTTTCATGTTGTGCTTTCAGGTGGTCGCACTCTGCCCAGCTCACTACTCATGTTATCTCAATATCACAGTGAAGAATGTGGTAAAGGTATTGGTCTATGCTGTAGATAAATGGTAGATAAATTTGTTCCTCAAGTAATGTATAACACTAGTTTTGCACGTATGTTACCTTTGTTTGGCATAAAACATTAACTTATCGATATTTTGTATTGCATACGTTGCCCTATGTTTTCCTATTTCTGCGATGTTCTGGTCCTATGAAGTTGTAATCTATCTTTAGCTCTGACTTTTGATTTGACCGACTCTTTTTTTTTTCAGTCTAGCATGCTTAAGTTTTGAGTGAATTTGTTACCTTGTGATATGGTTGCTTTTCTGATAGCCAATTCTAGATGCTATAAAAGATAAAAGAGTGTTCTTAAATAAAATACAGCTAATAAAAATTTTAAACTAGCCAAATATGAACATACATGTGAATGCTTGGCTCAACTGGTTTGATTCCCATGCATTTGGGATTTGATATGAATTCTCAATCTCTATTCTTTTCTATTGTAATGAGCCTTTTATGCCAAAGGAGTATAAATTATTAAAGAATTCGAGGTAAATCATAAAAAAATATATAAAGGAGTAAATAATATGAACTAGTTTTCTATTTTCCCACGGTTTTAGTGAATATATATATATATATATATATATAGCTAAAATGTATATATAGCTACACTGCACATGAAGAGGCGCTTTTATTATATTGATTTCTCATAATTTATATATCATGAATGCATTGTAATGTACACACCTAATTTGAGAACTTTGAAATTGAACTCACAAAATCTAAGTTCAAACCATTTCTATTATATGTATTAATTCACAAGTGATTATAAATTTAAAATGAATGTAGTAGTTTAATTTTAAAAACTCTAGGAATGCATTTAAATTCATTCAATTCATATAAAAAGGAAAATTTAGATGTAAAGGATGTCATGTTTCATAAAGCAAGTTAAATAAATTTGATTGTCATTATTGTCACTTTCTTTCACATAATGTCTTTATTCTTAATGTAGAATTTTTTCATCTTCAAAATTGTTATAATCTTTTTTTTTCCTTCTTGTGAGTCAGTTCCATAATTTCTTTCTTCAACTACAAAAATGGATGCATGTTTGACATGAACCGACCCTCATTATAGATGAATCTCCTATTATTTTTATTTAATAAATCTTGCAATTATCTTTGATCATGTTCTCCTAATGCTTCCTCAACTTGCCTCTATGTTAGGTCTTCATCACCGAAATATTTATCGCCATCATTCCCCTTTTCTCCAAGTAATCCATTATAGCATCCATCAATAAAATTTAAACTTATTGGGTCAATGGCAGCTCTCAAGATAAATCTTCTGTTCAAAGTTTGATTATACTTGTGAATACTTAATGATTTTAAAACTATTAATCTAACAAATTTCTCCTATTTGTGTGAATTTGTAAAAAAAATTAATGAAATGCATAAAATATGTGAAATATCTAATATATTCAAAATAATAAATTATTTATCTGCATGAAGACACTTAGTCTCTTTAACTTCCAGCAACATTACAAGTTAATCCTAATTTTTTTATAGCTAATTTTTATAAAATTAAGGTTTATTTGCACCAGTTCTTGCACTACTTTTCTATATTTAAATTATAATATCAAATTTAAAAAAATCAATTAAAAAAGTTCAAAGTCTTATTGAAGCTTAAATTAATTACATCTAGAGATTTATCATCTCTATTGCTAATAGTAAACTCAATTGCGAGTAAGCCACTAGAATGATTATAAATAAAAAGTTTGTAATTTATTGTCATTCACTTATTTGGGTCTCCTACTAATATGTTGATAAATGCATATATACCCTCTATTAATTGTCCCTTTGATTGTAATATAGACTTATTTTAATAAAAAAATTCTGGATTAAGTTGATTTCTAGTTTGACAGAATATTTGCTGAAGTTGACATCTCCATTTTTCATCAATGATACAAACTTGCTCATACTTTTTTATATCATCCAAATGCATCACTAATTGCATTTGTTACTTTGTCTATTATGTCATAAATATAACTTAATGTAAGTTTCGTGTCAATGTCTATTAATCTCAACATCTTCACTAGTGTGTCTATACCCTTTATAGAGTAGCTTACACCATTATAAAATGTAGCCTTGAGATTGACATCTTTAGCTTTCTTTTTTTTTTATAATCAATAGTAAATCTTTATCTAATTATACTCTTCAGAAAACAAACATATATGTTATTTATTTATTTATTGCTTTTTATGCTTATTAGAGTAAGAAAAGAAGTAGTACATAGAGCGGTGCTCTTATGTCACTAATTTTTTATAGCTGCTATATTTTTTCATCATATTGAGAAGAAATCCATGATTAGATATTTAACTCTAAACTCTTTTTAGCAGTGTTTTTCACTTGAGTAATTTTTTTAATATCATTTGACATCAGATTGATGCAATATGTTGCATATAACCAAAAGTGTAGTTCCCTATCACACTAATTTCATAAAGTTGCTATATTTTTTCATCATGTTGAGTACAAATCCATGATTTCGCATTTAACTCTAAAGTTTTTGAGCAATTTTTTCAATATCATATAACATCGGATCGATGCTATGTGTTACATATGGTATCCAATACATGTCTGTCTTCTTTTCAATGATCATATGACCTATACGAACTTAAGATGTATTCACATTCTACAATGAGAGAGAAAACTAATTGTATATGTGTTAACTACCATAAATTATTAACATGTGAGAATATGCTTAGTGTGGTTATCTATAAGCACTTTGAGCACATTTTCTTTTCAATTCATTTTTTCTTGTACAATGCGGCTTTTAGATATTAAAATCCATCTATTGGCTCTAGGAATATTGTGCTTTATAGTGAATTTAAATAAATTTTTTTAGATCATTCTCTACGGGTTGTTCACCAATTTAACATAAGAGTATATCTTTTTTCTTGCCATGTTTTTTGCTATCATTTATAATCATCTATATTCTTCATGGTCGCCTACTTCTTTCTTACAAGGGGTTTCTTAGTTCAGGAGAGGACGATGGTAGAAAGTATTTTCTATATTATTCAATTGCTTTTATCATAAAATCAAAACTCTCCATTTCTTTATATTAAAATAGATATCTGCTTAATAGAATCACCTGGTTATTTATTATATACATTTTTTTTAATTTAGTTTGTCTTACTTATTTTTTTTTTGTAGCCATTTTTCTAGGCGCTTTATGCAAGATTTATCCATATAAATTTTATTTTAGATCCATTTATTCTTCCTGATGTTGAGCTTGATTCAAATGATCTCTTATCATAATCTATAGGCATTTGAATGTCTAAATCCTTAGCAATATTTATCACCCTCTATCAATTTCCATAATCAAACTTTGTTTCAATACGTTACTCCTTCTTGATAAGTATGCAACTCTTTTTGTGCATCCAAATGCACATTCTTACACTACATTACTTCTTTTATATGATCCAAAGGTAATGATCAATTGCAGCTTGACTCGAGATTTACCTCAAATTGCTTCTTTATCATACTAAATGCATATGTGGTAAAGAATATTTGACTTGGTTTTTAACTTGTAATTTCGATTTGGACTTTTCTCTTCCCATTTGGATAAGCCATAGCTAATTTTTTTTGCATGTAAATGAATAAATTTCTAAAATGAATTTAATGTGCAAGTATTAACACCCTCATTTGATTGCTATAACATCCTTACCATTGATCTAAAACGTTAAATCTATAAAATTATCTTTTTACAAATATTAATATAATTAGGAATTATCCATCACATAAGGACAAATTTATTTATTATTTGGAGTTTAATCCTCATTTATATTCTCTTAAAATAAATTTTGTTAAACTAATTTTTTATCAAGTGATATTTAATTTTTGTAATTCAGTTTAGAAGTATTCACTAATTTTTAATAATAAAAAAGAACTATTTCTTTTAAGTTACAATTGAGCTAATAAATTTAAACACTAAATTATAAATATTATATCTTTTAAAATCTCAAAGAATGTCACACTCACAAATAAGGTTGGTTGGATGATGGCGATCGAATTGGATGGTTGCAAGCTTATTGTGTTTGTTGCATCAATGAAGTTTAAAGTCATGATTTGCATCAAAGCTTATAAGCTCAATCAAGGTAAAGAAAGTTATGGCTGCTACATGGTTGAGGATGAAACTGGCTCGAAGATCCTTGAAGCTTTATATCAGTAAAATGACTGGTTATTCTAAAAATTTGAATTGAACACATTCTAAATCCTAAAGTAATGAAATTGAGTTGTATGCTGAAAGTCAATGATGTTGTGTTTCATTCTCTCTGCGGACCTTATGAAAGCACTTGATAGCGCGAAGTACCGCTTCACACGTGCTTGTAGCACCAAATCTAACATACTACAACTTAGGACAACAAAGGGTTGTAATTTAGGTTATTTCTTTATTTTTTATCTTTGGTCAAAAATAACATGGCCAATGTAAGAATAAAATGAATATTGATTGCAATAAGGATACCAACAATATTGGGTACGTAAGATTGATTATGTGCCTTTCTTCTTCTTTATTTAAAAGCTTGTTTCCATAATTTAGATCTTTGTCTTTTAGGCAACAATGGAGGTAAATTAGCCATTTTTGTTGAAATCATCTAAGTTTTGAGTAAAAGTAAGTCATAAACATCATTATTCTTAACGTAACTATTAGGGGACATTTATGAATACGATTTTCTTATTTATTTTTACTGAGTTTTTTAGTAGACATTTAAATTATTCTTCATAATTCTTTTTTAAACAATTTATATTTTAGATGTAAATTATCATATTCATTGTGCTGATTTGGTTGTTAAACTTGATCGCAAATCCTTCTTAAATTAAAATCCTTACCTAAAAAAAGATTACTTTACACTAAGGTGGTGTTTGATAGCATATCCATAATAGAATTACACCAAGAATTTAACTTAAATCCAACCAAACATACGAAAAATAAAAATTAAATCCAATGCTCCATTAAATTCAATTTTCCCGTGTTTCATCTGCTTATTC